GTCCAAGAATTTCTGTGTCAGACATTTTGTCGGTCGATTGAAACTTACAAAAGCACATTTCAGGATCAAAAACATGTTACATTCAATGAAAATATAAAAATTGACATTTTAATATATAAACCGAACATAAAATCATAAAAATCCTGTTCAAGAATTCCAGTTTTAGATATTTGTTCGTTTAACCGAACACAAAAATTACAATATAAATCTCGTTCAAAAGTTCCTGTTCAAGATATTTTTGGTTGTCTGACCTAAAAAACTAAAACGTTTTGTAAAAAAGGTCCTGTGGAAGACAAATTTGTTGATCGTTCGATATAACAGCACATATTTTCACATAAGAGAGACATGCTGCATCCAATGAAAAAATAAAAGTTAACATTCTAATGACTGACTTTTGACAGAACAAAACAAAATAAAATTCAGAAAAATCCTGTGAGGGAAAACAAAAAAAATAAGATAAAAAAATCTTTAACCAGCGTTTTTGTCTAAGAAGATTTATTTATCCGAACAAAAGAATTTTGATAAAAAAAAAACCTGCTCAGGAATTCCTGTGAAAGATATTTGTTAGGTCGACAGAACAAAAAATTACAATAGAAAAATCCTGTTTAAACAATTTTGTCGGTTGATCGAAACAAAAATGCTTGACAAAAAAGATAAAGATAAGCCCCCCCCATAGCAGTGCCATTTCCCGTCCGAGCTTTGTTAATTATTCTTTTTAAAAAAGTGGTCTGGTTTGGCACATAAAAGACCTCCGAATACCCAGATGTTGGAATGCCACCGTGTAGGGGAATTCCTGAAAATCCGGACAAAAGACAAACTATCCCCTTAAAGTTGAACACTTTGTGTGCATTAGTGATTTTTTTTTCTGGTGACAAGAGTTAAATTATTTGGGGTCGAGATAAGTGTGGTTTGGGTGTCTCTGAGTCCATTTGTTCATGGTGAAGATCCCGCGGCTTACTTCCGGACTTAAAAGGCCGACCAGCGGGTTCATTCAAATGTTTCCTTTACCAAGGCGACAATGTTTGAAGCGTTCTAGTATGTACTTAAGGTACGGGTTAGGCTCTGGTAGATGGTCTGTCCTTAGAGTTTAGGTACGAGCGTTTCAAATCGCCACCGCCAAGTTCACTGTGCATCGGGTTCTAAGACCTCGGGTTAGGCCTTTGTATACCGTAATCTGCCTTTTAAAACCCGGCACTGGAGATTTGAAATTATTACCATGGATTCCTTCCTTCCTAGACCTTCTGAACCGTGACAAAATTTCACTTCCAGCACTCAGGGCTTATAAGACACAGTAGCACAGAGATACGGCCTCTACACTTCAGATATAGGAAACCCAACAACATTTAACTCCTTTTGTTCGTTTATATCCGGGCAGTCGATGTCGCCGGTGTACCAGCTGGAAGGTCTAGGTTCAGAGCTGCAGTAGCTCCATTGCCATTTCCAGGGACAGGTTACAATACTTAAATGTCTGGGATCCAAAATGTCACATTAATTGCCTTTGTTGTAACCTATAATCCCTGGTATTACGTAGACAGAGGACTAGATATTTTTTACACTTAGGCACGTTTTTCGCAACCCAAATGCAAGCTTCAGTATACACTGGCCTTAATTACAATCGCCCATTTTTGTTCGAATCCCCAATCTGGAGTCTCAGGCATGATTCTCTAGTTCTTCAGCTCAGCTTTTCTATAAAATCAGGTTCTTTTTCATCCTACAGAGGTGTCCAGGACCGCCGTCCTTGCTGCCCCCTGCCCGATGTCAAGATCGGTCGGTGTACCAACATGAAGGCCTGGGCTCAAACTTACAAAATATTGACCTAGGGTCCTGAATCTTTACTGAAATGTTGATCAGCATGTGTAGTTGTGCACCTGGGTATTTTCGTGTTGATTTATATAGTATTTTTTAGAGTTATTGTCCTTAACTAATTAAAAATTTGCAATTTTCAACTTGGTTGTGCGTACCTCAAAATGTTTTTAACCTAGAGTCAAGAAACTTTACCGTTATGATGATCAGCATATGAAGTTGTGCACATGGGTTTGGCTTGTGAATCTATATGTTTTGTCAGAGTTGTTGCCATTGACTTAGAAAAAACCGTTTCATTATGTAGTGTTATTTGTTCCTTGAGTGCTTGAGATTGAATCAGCCAACTTTATAAAAATAATGATCAAAATCACTGTAAAGCTAAGCACTTGGCATTTTGCCTGTAGATGTTTTTATGCTCCCCGGGTTGTCCGTCAATCAGTTCGTCAGTCCATCTGTACGTACGTACGTCGCGAATTTGTGTCCGACCAATAACTTCGTTATTTGAAATCGGATTTTACAACTTTTTCACATAAAAGATCACCATATTAAGACGACGTGTTATGCGCAACTTTTGGGTCGCTAACTTGAAGGTCAAGGACACAGCATGACCTTGCAGCTAAATTTGTCCAGCCCATAACTTTGTTATTTGAAGTCAGATTTTTGTTACTTTTTCACAGAAATGATCACCATATTGAGACAACGTGTCGCGTGCAACATTTCGGTTGCTACCTTAATGGTCAAGGTCACAGCATGACATTGCAGCAAAAATTGTGTCCGACCCATAACTTCGTTATTTGAAATCGAATTTTATAACTATTTAGGAGAAATGATCACCATAGTAAGACGACGTGTCGCACGCAAAATTTGAGTCGTACATTTAACAAAATCTCTCCTCACATAAAGACAGGTCCAATATAAGTATGTTCCATGTCAGGGTTAAACTAGGCTTAAGGCCTTCATATGCAATATTTTATATTGGGGTACACAAAAGTTATTGTTTAAAGGCTTAAAATATCAACGCCTTTACCAATCAATACTTTTGTCAGGGTTTTATCTTAACCCAAACTCGGACAAGGCCTTCATTAAGCTAATGTAATTATTGGGGTACAACATGGGTAAGGGCCTTCATATAAAATGCTTTACAGGGACGATTTGCTTAAGTGTAAACATATAAAAGCCTCTGGACCAGAACACAATGCTTAGGGAAAAGGGGTTAAGGTTACGCTTCCCCCAAAATTTATGGGCCTTTGTACGATAGGAAATCTGAAATTTGATGTTCATATATTTGCGACATTTTAACCAGGGTTAGGGCTCGACTTTACTCTTTAATGTATCTTGGAAGTAAATATAAGTCTTCGATATGCCGGTTTAATGGCGGTCTTTTTGAAATTCACCTGACGCCGCAACATCCAACAGTCCTCCGTCTCTAAGCCACTGAACATGCTTTAGTGGCCCTTTGTCTAACCATACAGTGGTCACTACATAACATTTAGTATACAAATGCCTTATGTAAAGGTTTTTCTGTTCGGCTTATTTAGTTTTACCATACTGAGGAACCTCCCTGAGTTTTGCGGGTGACACCTTAGTTAATAGCCTTCGCAAATACTTTTACTATGTAAAGGCCGAGCTGTCAGCTGAATCAATTTTACTACACAGTGGCCAATATGTTAGGTTTATGTGTTATAACTATGTTTGAGGGCCTTTTTATATCAAAAAACGGTTATCAGGGGATTTATTCTAACCATGTCTTTTGAAAGTACACAAAGGCCCTTCTGTATGACTTACGGGTTTCAACTAAGTGTGAAGCTTTTACATGGTAAAAAAACGGTTAACATGTTTTTCGAATAGGTGAATTTCCTAGGGCCATTATAATGTGTATTGTATGTCGCGGTAACAGATTTTCTTTTACCCAAATTATTGGCTTTCCACGCACAGGCCCTGAGATTTTTGCACTTTGAAAAAAATAATTGGGGTTATTTTGTGAATCCCTAACGCGCAAAGGCCTAATTTTTTGCACTTAGAAAAGTTTATGCGCTAGTTCACCGGTTCAAATCCCATCCCTGAAATCCCTCATTCTTTTTTTTGTTTGGTATACAAAAGGTTTTTGTAACAAAATCTCTCCATATATATAGACAGGACCAATATAAAGTTTGTTCCATGCCTTGGTTACAAATTCGCTATAACCTTTACTTCTGGGCAACTTGCGCAAGAACTCTTAAATGTGTGCACTTAGAAAAAGTAATCAGCGAAGTCACTTCGGGCTGAGTCCTATCTTTTTTACCCGTTCTTTTATGTTTAAAAAACAAAGGCTTCTAAACACAAAATCTCTCACCACAAAAAGATAGGAACACTTTCAAGTATATTCCATGTTGGGGTAACATGGGGGTCGGATAAAGAATTCTTTGTAAGTCATCGGTTCGAATCCCACCCATAAAACCCGTCCTTCTATTTATTAAAATATAACAACACTGAAGTGAAGTATCGGGTAAATTATTACAGCTGTTACTCGGTACTTGACTCATACATTTTTGGAGTATTAAAAACTCTGGAAAAAGTGATCACAACAAGATAACCTCAAAATTGTAGACTCTAGAAACCTGCTTAAGCGGCACTTAAATTAAAACACTGAAAGTGCTGGAAGCAATGCGGGTATAACAAAACTAAACAGTGAACATTTCTATTTCGAGTTACATAAATTTCTTTTAATGTAAAACATATCCCGATTTGGTCATAATCAGGAGACATTATTGCAAGAAATGTTCTTTATTTTATTTAATTACAGAAATGTTTCCAAGTGTAAAAATGTGAAGGTCTCCGCGCAGGAATTCTAGAATTAGGGTTCAAGAAAATTTAAATTTAGAAGCAAAGTGTAAAAAAAGTCCGAGCCTCTACCCGCTTTGGAGATCTTCTATATAGATATGCTATGACCTGTCTTTAACATAATTATCAGAGCTGACATATATTCTTCATTGAACGTCAGCTGTTCAGTCTGTAACAGCATCTTTTTTCCAAAAGAAACATTCATTATGTACAGCAATGGATTCTTTTTAAAAACAATATCATATCATTGAGAAGTTAAGTAATCAGATTTTACTACACGAGCCTATGTATACATGATGCAAGTATAAATCATGGTAAATTGTTATTCTTGATATTATGTTAAGTTTGACTGATACCGTGGTGTGTTTTCATAAACCGTAACAACCGAAATCGTTACTTGTACAATTTGTAACTGAACATCTTGTTAGATAAATTATTTGTATCCATAAAAAGAAAAGTGGACACTTTATTTTGCGTTTAAGTATGTGAAGTGCATGCTCTATTCCGTTTAAATATGCATGGATATAAAAATTAAATTACGGTCGTTATAATAAGTGATATCAATTTTAAGTTTGATATTACCCTTTGTAATTTTGTATCTGTTTGTTGAGCAGTAAATTTGTTTCATGAAGTAGAGTACTAAATATACATTAGTTAATATAAAATGAAATTGTTTATTTATAAAAAGGATTATTCAAGAAGTGTTTTATTAATAAATGTTGTTACGAGTCTTTGTTTAATATATTTATATTTGTATTCAAAATTAATAAATGAAGATGTCAGGGTAAGTTAAATTGGAAATGTATCCTTTAAAATTACAGATGAATAATGATACAACATTTTTTGTTCTTTGGATAGAAACATTGAAAAATATTCACACAATTGTGTTATTGACGTAATATATTTACGGCTTAGACAAATTGAAAGACATTGTAATTAGGATTTTGATGTCAATCGATATAGTTTATGGTACAATGAATAATATTTATCGTATTTATCGTATTTAAAACATTAAAGTGTAATTTAAATAATTGACAAATTTTATTATTTTCAATAGTATTTATTTGTATCACGTGTCAGACATCGAGATATGTTTCTTATTTTACAGAACGCAGATGATAAGACTTCAACTTGGCAATCTATTCCCGATAATACAACAGTAGTAACAGCCTATCTAGATATAGGTACTTTTTCAAAAGGACATCCTTATAGGAAAAGGTCGAAAACATTTTATTTTGAAAGAGCCAAAGCGTTTAAATATTTATTAAATGCATTAATAGTATATACAAATTCAATATTGTTTAAAAATCATATGCTTGAAATACGACGTGACCTTCTATCTGTTACAAAAGTGTTGCTTATTGATTCAATGTCAATAACGTCATTTCAATATATAAAACGAATTCAAGACATTTTTCTGTTGCATTCGTACCCAAAATACTATCCGCATACAACTAATCCTTCGTATACATGTGTTATGCATGCCAAATTCGACTTTCTATTGAAAGCAACGGAAGAAAATACATTCAAATCAAAATACTTTATGTGGTTAGATGTTGGATATTTTTCAAGTAAACCACCTTTAAAGATGTTTCATTTATCCAAACCACCATCATTTAATGAAACTAAAATAGCGGCTGGCCAACTTGTTTCAAATCTAACTCAAGCTCTTGAACTAGATCCATATACAATTTTTAAAAAGAAAAAGAGCATTGTTGCGGCCGGGCTATTATTTGGAGAGAAAAGTCGTATAATCAATTTTTCAAAACTATATCAAAGTGGGTTTAGGTACTTTTTGTCACAAAATTTAACCAATTCTGAGCAACAGGTAATATACGCTATTTACTGCGATAAAGGCAACCGTATACTAAAACCTACAGTTGAGCTACAATATTACAAGGCGCCTGGTGTTTCTAACTATCATTTTCTTGGTATTAACCTTATGAAAATAAGCTCATTTTCGTAATTGAAAACAATATTGAAAATTACATGTCACATATTAGACAAGAACATTATTTGTCCTTACTATAGGATTTGCATTGCTTGTTTAGTATTTTACCAGTATCAAAAAAATCAAATGTATAAAATGAATAATCATCGTTTAAAAACATAAACAAAACTTCCAAATGTTACGTTGATATGCAAAAAATATTTAAAATGCCAGGCAATTATTGAGATGGGAATCATTTCCTCACTGACCTTAAGATAATTTCGTTTATTAATTCAAGACTAGTGAGCTCTGCTGACATAAAGAACAGTGATGAAAACAACAAATGGAGGTAAATGAAATCTGATCAACGGTTACCGAATGTTATATAATATACTTGATTTAAGATTATATTGCTGCACATTTATATCACGTTATATGTATTCCTCAGTAAACTCCACTTATAGCGGACACTGTTATAGCGAACACCCGGTTTTAAAGAACAATTTTTAACATCGAAATTTGTCCTTTATTCAATATAAAAATATGGTCATAGCGAACACGGTCATAAGGGATAATTACGTCCTATGGAACTCAATATCAGTCGAAATTTAGTTTAAAAAACAGAAATTACATTTTTTAACGAACTCCAAAATTTCGTCTATTCGTAAATAGATCCCGTAATTTCTACTTTAATTTTCATAGGCACGGATTGAACCTTGGCCGAATATAACGTTTATTGTGTTGTATGAATTTCAATACAGCTATGAAAATGAATTTGTGTAGCAGTACGTAATAGCTTATATTTAAGATTGTCACTTAGATAAAACGATTATCATTCATTTAATTTCATTATTTCTTTTATTTAGTAGTTTTGCTCCAGGAAAAGAATAATGATAATTTATAACCAGTTTTCAACATAACTTCTCATGATAATCCACAAAAGGAACAATGTACGTTTGATTTAAAGGAAAAAAAATCTATATCTTTCAAAAGTAAAAGAATCCCTTAAAATACATGTATAATAGAAGATATTAGATATAAAAGGACAGAAAAATCGAAATAGTTTATTGTTAATCATTGATAGGAAACGAAAAACAAGTTTAGAAACAAAATATGATATTTTACGAGAAATCGAGAGAGCAGAAATAGTATGGCAGTCAAAAATCCGACAACGAAATAATTTAAGATTACCTGTCGGTAGTTTAAAAAAACAGTTTTTGCAGGTATGAATCACATCCGAACACAAATAAGAAAATTAAGATAACTTTACCAAAAAGCGTCCTTGATGGTATAGGTCATTTAAAAGTTAATGTCAGTTTAACCTTTGAGAAGGTCTAGTCCTAAAGGTTGTTTTGACCAAGATTGAAATAATCAATTAATTAGCAAGTTACAGCCAATTATAACACTAATCAATGAAACTTTAATTAATTTTATAATTTGACCATCAAAGTCAATTTTATACATGGGTAAAGGTCAGTTTGAGTTTAAAACACATGAAGGTCTTGACCTAAATGATGTTGTAAGTAAATATGAAGTAAATTCATTTATAAACTACAAAGTAATAGCCAGTTAAAGCAAGAGAATTTCATTAACATCCCCTTGATAGTCAAGGTCAATCCAAGGTCAAGTTCACATCTATATTATTCAATATGTTTGGTTCGTAGCAAGTCTTGTTTTGTCAAAAGTATTACAATTCAACCTTAATTCAATAATTTGACCTTAACAGTCAATGTTATTTTGAACTCAAGGTTAAATTTACATGGGCACTTAGATTTTACTCACACTGCCGAGTTTTTGTCTAAATCTGGTGGCCGAGCACTAGGTGCAATTTCTTCTAAAGTACATGTACATAATTATAAAGATGTTGTCTTTAAAACATTTTCTAAAATGTTCTATTCATGTGCTTTTCCTGTAACAGATTACTGTTCCTCAATATGGGCTTTTAAATATTATAACAAATCGATATGACGCAAAACAGAGCAAGACAATCTTTTATGGGACTGCATAAATTTGCATCATTATTAGCAATAAATGGTGATATGGGTTGGATTTCCACCCAACATAGACGTTGGGTTAACATTTTACGATTTTCGAATCGACTTGTAAATATGCCGGACGATAGTGTTCCAAAGGCAAGAGCGATCAGAAATCACAAGTGTCGCCTCATGATGGCCAATTTCATGTTGGGACAAATTTTGTGACAGACGGACAGACAGACGGACAGTGCACAATTAGACTTGGTACTGATCATTCCTGTAAAGTTTGGATGAAATTGTATCAGTAGTTTATGAGGAGTAGTCCGGACAAGCTTTTGTGTATCTGGCAACACACAGAAAAAAACACCTTTTTATCAAAGGGCCATAACTCGGCTAAAAATCATTCAACTAAAAAACCCGTGCAATATGCACAAGGAGCTACAAATCAATCCTGTGAAGTTTCATTGAAATTGCATTAGTGGTATAAGAGAAGTAGTCCGGACAAACTTTAAAATTAAAAATTAAAAAGGGCCATAACTCTGACAAAAATCATTGAACCGGAAAATGCTGACAATATGCACAACTAAACTTGGTACTGATCATTCCTGTAAAGTTTGGATGAAATTGCACCAGTTGTTTATGAGGGGTAGTCCGGACAAGTTTTGTGGCGGACGGACGGACAGACGGACGGACAGACAGACGGACAGACGGATAGACAAACGACGGAGAAGCGATCCCTATATGTCACCACTACTCCGTAGAGGCGACACAAAAATGTTCTCATATGACTACAATTGCTTCGGAAAAACATGGTGCAATGATGTAAAGACTATATTGCAACAAATTCAAATGTCAAATTTCTATGAAACAATTTACCTGTAAACCTAAAAGATGTTGAAGATGCATTGTTTGTTAAATATAAAGCAGATTGGTGTAATAATGTTAGAAATGTTGCCAAACTTAGAAGATATATTGAATTAAAACAACATTTTAATGCTTAAAATTATTTGCTTTAACTAAGATTGAACGGTCTCATTTAGCCCAATTCCGACTTGGTATACTTCCATTAAAAATAGAAATGGGAAGATATGTCGGTTTAAATGTAAACGAAAGATTTTGTCACTTTTGTCCAGTTAATCTTGTAGAAGATGAGACTCATTTTCTTTTAAACTGCATTAAATATAATGACTTACGAGAGAACCTTTTATCAAAATGTAAAGCTAGAAATCCTGATTTTGAACAAATGTCTGAAGTAAATAAGTTAGTATATGCAGTCAACCATCATTATGTGCATGTTGCTAAATTTTTATTTGAAGCGAAGACGGATGTCTCTGTACAGAAATTAATTAAAAAGAAATGTTGTAAATATATTTGCTCTATAGATATATACATAAATGACAACTGTATATGTACCATTTATGTGATTTGATACCGAAAGTAATTGGGGAAAAAATGTAAACTTGTATACTTCCTATTTCTCTTATAATGCAGATGTTATTATGTCCAAGAACATTTCAATTACTATTTGTTCGTGAATGAATATAATTAGTTAATATCTAACGTATGTTATAAATTGTATATTTTTGAAAAAAATATTAAATAATTTAGTGACTTGTAGGCCCAACGTGGCCGGGTGTTGTAAAAATAAATATGTGTCGTTATTATGTATGTACATAACACAATGTCACTATAATAAAATATACTTATCTTTTCTTATCTTATAACAAAATTATAGCCAGTTGTTACAGAAAAACTGTAAAAATGAAACTTAATAATTTGACCTTCAAGATAAAGGACAATTATGAGTAAAGGTTAAGGTATGTCTGGTCTATCCTTACAGATAATCAAGTTTGAAGACAATCCATTTAAAATATCAAATTTATAGCAATTTATAGCAAAAACAGAGCAAGGTAAAACAAACAAAAAGAAAACCAAACAATATTTAGACATTTGACCTTGAAAACCAATGTCATTTATGAATGAATGTCAAGGTTAGTCATGTCCACACTTGAAGCTTTTGTCAAAGGGTTGTTGTGGCCAAGTATGAGGGCAATACACAAAAACCTAAAAGATTATGATCAAGGTTAAAGTTTGCGGCAACGTTAACGTCAACGCCGACATGACTGTTACAAAACCTTTATTTAAAAAAAGTCATGCTAATAAGCGTCTAAAGGGAAATGTTTTTCATTGTATTTTTATTTTTACCATTTCAACTGCTTATTAGTTAATTTGTTGAAATGCTTATTTCCGGTTTCTAAAATATAAAGACGTTTAAATGTCTATCATGTTAATCAAATGATTTTGTGTGAATTACTAAACTCTTAAAAAGGAATTGATGTGTATTGAATATATAAATGGGAATAGCTTCAAAATGTATTAACATTTATGAAATCTATAAAGTATTCATGGTGATATTTATACAAAAAATTTTAGAATACATTTAATTAGTTGGTGTAAAAATGTATGATTCACGTGATATATCTGAACACATCGCATATAGACATTATTGCCAAAAAATCGTGACGCTTGGTTAGATATAACAGTTATGACTACTAGTTTTATAGGATAGATCTAACGGGAAATAACGGTTACCACGTACTCTGTTTGATCGCTTGTGACTTTTGATCATATATATTATGAATGTTATAAGCGGAACACCGAAACGAAAAAAGAATCCACCACTAGCTGAAGCGACTTAGACTCTAGTATTATAACAAACCCATTTAGTTCCTTAAATGAAACCACAGAAGAAACAGACTCAATAGATAAAAGTTAAGGAACTTTTAGGAAAAGGCCTTCGAATAAAAAACAACCCCAATAACTCCAAGTCTCATCAAAGAAAAAAAAAAAAGTTAAAAAAAAAACCGCGGCATCAACTGAATTGATAGAAACGAACGTGGAGATAAAACTTGGACAAAACCTAGATAAAATCGATGAAAAACTCAACAACGTTTTAACAAAAGATGACAGGTTATTCATCAGAGACATGATAAAAAACACATTTGAAGAAATGAAGGAAAATTTATAAGGATCATTCATAAAACGATTAGAAATTTTAGAAAACAAAATTTATAACAAATCAGCCTCC